ACTCGAAAAGGGCAGCAGACGGGGAAGAAGATGGCACTACAGTGGCATCATCCTGGGAGCAACTGGTTCTCCAGGGGATCAACGAGGATTCAGAAACGGAAGATGATTCCGAGGAGAAGAGTGGAGGGGAGAGGCGTGACGACGAATTCCAAGAAGTGGTGGGTCAGGCCAAGAAAAAGAGAAGATTCGCGAGGCTTAAGGGCTTCAGCGCAACCCAGAGTGTGGTGAGGTTAAGCAAGTGGACAGAGCTGGTAAAAGGTACCATCCGGGACATAGCTTCGAAGAATCCGCGTGGGACGGCTGATGAAATCCTAGTCGCCTACAGGAAAATGGTACTCGACGAGATCTCTACTGCACTGGAAAAGGGGTGCACCCCGATGCCGTTCTTCCATATATGTATCGACGATATTAAAACTTATCTGAAGATGTTGCACAATGCCCGAGCTATGGCACCTCAGACGGTCCGAGGGGCCGAACAACTCAGCTTCGTCGATCGTGAGTTGGAAAAAACGGCCGGAATATCATTCCCCGAGGCTCGTGATTCTCAAGTTATCAACCGCGGCAGTGCTCCGGGGCTCGGCCCAGACCCAATCACGACCCAGGACATCATCGTTGACTGGGAAGGGTGCAATCGTACCAAAGTGAGAAGGGCCAAGCGTGGTCTCCCACGCCAGCAAGTGGTTGCTGGAGGTGGCTCCTCATCGTCTGCTCATTGTGGCAATGATACGGTCCAAGCGCATGATCCAACGGACCAGAACGCGCAAGACCAAGTAAGTCGAGAGGGTGTGAACGACGAAGAACCACCAAAGAAGAGAGCTCGTTTACACAATCCCATCTGTCCGCACTGCAAGAAGCCTAGAGCACGGGGACTCAACGATCACATCTTCGACGACGGTTCCACGTACGGCAGATGTCCGGAAGCGAAACTAAGTGACCCCGCAAAAATTGCGGTCAATAAAAGAGCTGAGGCTCAGAAAGGTAACTTCGAGATCGTGACGGATAAAAGGCCAGCTTCTTACAAGAAGAAGTCAGGGAAGTTATCGGAAGAGCCGGGAGAAAGCAAGCAAGTCAAACAGAAGAACTGTAGCATCTGCGGATTCCCCCAGAGCAGTGAGGTCGTTTTGGCTCACAAGTACGACGACGGCGTGCGAGTAAGTCATGAAAGATTGACACGTTCCGATGGGTCGCTGGTTTGGTATTGCCCGGTCGGACAAAACCTCAGCATAAGCGAGGTTGAGGAATTACGTCGGGAAAAGGATTCGAGGAGGAAAGCCCGATGCGAGAAGAAGAACCAATGGAAACGCGACGACTATAAGAGAAAGAAGCAAAATGCAGCAAATGCCACCAAGGCCGGTACAGCATGAAATACGATGTTAAACCGTGTATCAAGGTTGCCGTGAGTTCAGTTTCTTGGTTCGGAGTTCGAGCATGGAAACTGTTGATCGAGTTCACATCGATCACCTGTACTAGCGCTGACATCTTGTGCGGGAAGGCCTTTCCCCACATCGTCGCCGATGCGTCTCATGTGTAGTTCCTCACTAGTTTAGAATGCGCAACACCTCCACTAGCCGGAATCGTTTTCCCAATTTGGGTAGTCAGCAGCAATCACGTCAAGGATCATGGACCAAAGAAAGAAGGAGAAGGCCGCTATTGCAATGTGTTTTTGTTGTTTTGTGTTTCAGATAATGTCTTCAGAAGAGCACCAGTCTCGTAATGTCGTACAACAGCATCATACTCCACTTCCCCAGGCCCTAAGGAATAAGACACTCACTGAATACCAATAGGGACTTATAATCTGGTTTTTGGGCGACTTTGAGGCCGAGTTTTATCCCCCCTCTGCGACTTTTTCGCGCCTTCGGCGCGACCCTTTTCCCCCCTCATTTACGCGGATTTTCCCCCGTAGGCGTCAGCTGAACATACACTCGAACTATTAGCAACAACCTCCTTACGGGTGCCAAAAGCATATTACACCGTCAAAGCAGCTTGGCGCAGTGGATAGCGTGTTGGGCTCATAACCCAAAGATCCCTTGATCGAAACAAGGAGCTGCTAGTCATTCTTTCGCCAGAAAAGGAGAACAGAAATATAAGTACAGACTATTACTTGTCAGCTGTGGGATTCGAACCCACGAGGATCTTTCCACCAGAACTTGAATCTGGCGCCTTAGACCACTCGGCCAAACTGACCCGTCTCAGCAAGTGTAAAACGGACGCGACGCCGACCCTGAAGATCTTGAGCTCCTCCAACGAAAGAGAATCATTCGCTCGCGGAGGCAATTGCCAACTTACTCAGAGAGCGTATTGCAAATTGAGGTCCTACAAAATTTTCTCTTCAAAGCGTAGACCGTAGCGATCGGCGTGCCTCTATAAAATCAGGCGTGTCGCTTGGGGTGACACATCCGGCGCTAAGCTAGAGCACATTGCGTGCGAAAGAACACTAGCAGCGCGATTTCGGGGTAGAGATGATTCAGCTCCTGTAGCTGGAATGGTCTAGTTGGTTATGACGACTGCCTAACACGCAGTAGGTCCCGAGTTCGACTCTCGTTTCCAGTAAATTCCTGGTGACTCTCTGAAGCTGAGTGAGTCGCGAGACTTCTAATCTACCGTCACTTCATTGGGCACCGTTGGTCCGACCATTCCAGCTACAGGAGCTGAATCATCTCTACCCCGAAATCGCGCTGCTAGTGTTCTTTCGCACGCAATGTGCTCTAGCTTAGCGCCGGATGTGTCACCCCAAGCGACACGCCTGATTTTATAGAGGCACGCCGATCGCTACGGTCTACGCTTTGAAGAGAAAATTTTGTAGGACCTCAATTTGCAATACGCTCTCTGAGCAAGTTGGCAATTGCCTCCGCGAGCAAATGATTCTCTTTCGTTGGAGGAGCTCAAGATCTTCAGGGTCGGCGTCGCGTCCGTTTTACACTTGCTGAGACGGGTCAGTTTGGCCGAGTGGTCTAAGGCGCCAGATTCAAGTTCTGGTGGAAAGATCCTCGTGGGTTCGAATCCCACAGCTGACAAGTAATAGTCTGTACTTATATTTCTGTTCTCCTTTTCTGGCGAAAGAATGACTAGCAGCTCCTTGTTTCGATCAAGGGATCTTTGGGTTATGAGCCCAACACGCTATCCACTGCGCCAAGCTGCTTTGACGGTGTAATATGCTTTTGGCACCCGTAAGGAGGTTGTTGCTAATAGTTCGAGTGTATGTTCAGCTGACGCCTATGCACCGTCCGGGAATTGAACCCGGACTATCTGCTTGGAAGGTAGATATCCTAACCATTAGACCAAGGCTGGGGGGAAAATAGAGGGAAGGAAAGGGGGAAAAGAGAGGGAAAAAGGGGGAAAAGGGGGAAAAGGTTGAAAAGAAAGAAAAGGAGAGGAAAGGACCAAGAATTGACCTACCACATGACCTAAATCTGTCTCAATTTACCACTTCGTTCAACGCAACGACCTCTAGCTTATTATAGAAATCTACAATCAGAGTTTAAGCCGTCTGGTATCGCTCAGCAGCTGCTCTTCCATGGTGCTTCATTAGGATGCATGCTTCAATTTCCCGAGACACCAATGTTTGAGCTCTAGGCGTTCTCCTGTTCCTCTGAGATGACAAATCAAAGTCAACCAATGATGACGAATGAGGTTTTACCACTTACCTCTGTATCTCTTCCTCTTATATTCATTCTTTTTCCTCTGCTGCTCCTGCCGCCGGTTCTCCTTGAGAGCTCTCAGCTCCTCCAGCTCTCCAGTGCCGATGTTTTCGCCAACCGGGCAGTACCATACGGAATGCTTGTCCTTGTCGTAGAACCTCTCATGACTGACCATATAGATATCAGAACCCATTTCTCTGAGATCGGCCGTGATAGGCAACCCGCAGATGGAACATTTTCGGCCTTTGCCGCGGACGTTTCCCACAATCACCCGCTTAGCACGCTCGTTCATAGAGCTCCTTGAGAGTCTTCGGGGTCTTTTGATACAGAGGAACCCTCTTGACGAAAGATGACTGGAAGAGAATTCGGTCCAACTCGTCAATAAATTAGAAGGAACTACCGGTCGTACTTCCGTAGGGCCGCGTGAGAGAGAGTGAACCCGCTGCATCCTCCTCAGCCTTCTCTTCCTGAATCCCAATATGAGCGTGGGAGCATCCAGGAATCGTCGGTGTACCTTCGCTGAGGGCACAGCCTCGACATCAGTGGAGATTTTTTAGGAGCGAACCACCTTCGGGCTCTTTTGGCGGCGGATGCAGTGTGCTTCGAACGTAACTCCTCTCGTATCTTTATGAGCTCTTGAGGCAGACTCCCAGGTCTACCCGCGTCTGTATCAAAATCACCAGCCTCCCAACGAGATATCATGTGGCCGTACCTAATTTAAAAGCGTTCCTGGTCTCGTCCGTCTCAGAGGTCTTCTACTTTTGGCGTATCTGCACTTCGGACAGTTTTCCCTTCGGCATTGAGGCAGACCAAGGACTAAGAAGCTAGTTTGAAGATTCAGCGACTCAGATTTCGCACTTGACGCAACTGCACGAAAGTTGCAAGAACAGCGCGTTTCGTACACAGGTTTAACTGATCGTACCTAGGTGTAAACGCCAACAAACCCCAGGACGAAAGACGCAATCGGCCAATACTCATCACTGGAGAACGCTGCTATATCAGAAGCAAGCCAAGGCTACGTGGCTGCAGGGGAGGGAGTCCAAAAAACGAGACCACCCGGCCAAACTGACCCGTCTCAGCAAGTGTAAAACGGACGCGACGCCGACCCTGAAGATCTTGAGCTCCTCCAACGAAAGAGAATCATTTGCTCGCGGAGGCAATTGCCAACTTGCTCAGAGAGCGTATTGCAAATTGAGGTCCTACAAAATTTTCTCTTCAAAGCGTAGACCGTAGCGATCGGCGTGCCTCTATAAAATCAGGCGTGTCGCTTGGGGTGACACATCCGGCGCTAAGCTAGAGCACATTGCGTGCGAAAGAACACTAGCAGCGCGATTTCGGGGTAGAGATGATTCAGCTCCTGTAGCTGGAATGGTCTAGTTGGTTATGACGAGTGCCTAATACGCAGTAGGTCCCGAGTTCGACTCTCGGTTACAGTAAATTTCTGGTGACTCTCTGAAGCTGAGTGAGTCGCGAGACTTCTAATCTACCGTCACCTGATTGGGCATCGTTGGTCTAATGGTTAGGATATCTGCCTTCCAAGCAGATGGTCCGGGTACAATTCTCGGACAGTGCATAATCGTCAGCTGAACATACACTCGAACTATTAGCAACAACCTCCTTACGGGTGCCAAAAGCATATTATACCGTCAAAGCAGCTTGGCGCAGTGGATAGCGTGTTGGGCTCATAACCCAAAGGTCCCTTGATCGAAACAAGGAGCTGCTAGTCATTCCTTCGCCAGAAAAGGAGAACAGAAGTATAAGTACAGACTATTACTTGTCAGCTGTGGGATTCGAACCCTCGAGGATCTCTTCACCAGAATTTGAGTCTGGCGCCTTAGACCACTCGGCCAAACTGACCCGTCTCAGCAAGTGTAAAACGGACGCGACGCCGACCCTGAAGATCTCGAGCTCCTCCAACGAAAGAGAATCATTTGCTCGCGGAGGCAATTGCCAACTTACTCAGAGAGCGTATTGCGAATTGAGGTCCTACAAAATTTTCTCTTCAAAGCGTAGACCGTAGCGATCGGCGTGCCTCTATAAAATCAGGCGTGTCGCTTGGGGTGACACATCCGGCGCTAAGCTAGAGCACATTGCGTGCGAAAGAACACTAGCAGCGCGATTTCGGGGTAGAGATGATTCAGCTCCTGTAGCTGGAATGGTCTAGTAGGTTATGACGACTGCCTAACACGCAGTAGGTCCCGAGTTTCGACTCTCGGTTCCAGTAAATTTCTGGTGACTCTCTGAAGCTGAGTGAGTCGCGAGACTTCTAATCTACCGTCACTTCATTGGGCACTGTTGGTCTAATGGTTAGGATATCTGCCTTTCGAGCAGATGGTCCGGGTTCAATTTCCGGACGGTGCATAGGCGTCAGCTGAACATACACTCGAACTATTAGCAACAACCTCCTTACGGGTGCCAAAAGCATATTATACCGTTAAAGCAGCTTGGCGCAGTGGATAGCGTGTTGGGCTCATAACCCGAAGGTCCCTTGATCGAAACAAGGAGCTGCTAGTCATACTTTCGCCAGAAAAGGAGAACAGAAATATAAGTACAGACTATTACTTGTCAGCTGTGGGATTCGAACCCACGAGGATCTCTCCACCAGAACTTGAGTCTGGCGCCTTAGACCACTCGGCCAAACTGACCCGTCTCAGCAAGTGTAAAACGGGCGCGACGCCGACCCTGAAGATCTCGAGCTCCTCCAACGAAAGAGAATCATTTGCTCGCGGAGGCAATTGCCAACTTACGTCCTAAATATGCTAGCATATTTGTGGACTGGAAGGTACGGGCATTACGAACAGACAGGCCACCCTCCTACAGGCGAAGATCAAGTCATGGGGACGCTCCCCCCCACTGGAGCCCGCCAGAACTCTGCCCAACATCAGCCAGGGCCATGACACCGCAAGTCTCTCGGGCCTCTCGGGACTAGGCAGCGGTCTGTCTCACCGAAGCAGGACCCCAACAAGCAGAGCAGAGGGCGAATCAAGGCGAAGAACCAGCAGACGCAGGCCCTCACCAAGCCCGAGCCCCAGCGACGGGCACTCCACCACAAGCAATCACAGGAGACGCCACAGGCATAGTTCACCAAGCCCCAGCGACGGAAGCTCTACGGCAAGCAACAAAGGGAGGCGCCGCAGGCACCGTTCACACAGCGGCAGCTCCCCGAGGCCAAGCAAGAGGCAGAGACTCCACAATACGCACGACAACCCATTCCAAAAGTTGGTTACGGAGCTCATGTCCTACGAGAATGCGGAACGCCAGCAACAAGCGGAGCAGAGCGTGGCCCAACGCATCACCGACGTTAGCAAGAAGACTGGAATCGGCAGGATCGGCGCCAACGTGACGCCACCAAACCGGCTGCTCAACGACCTCATCAAGAAATACGAAGAAGGTAGGAACCGGGGCGGGAACCAGAGACCGGCGTTCACACCCCACGAACTCAAGTACTTCCAATCTCCATCACTTGGGCAACATCACTCGCCCAACTCCCCATTACCAGGGGCGACAGCCCACCGAATGCTCAGCATGACCGTGGCTTATATGCTGGGAGGCCAGCTGGAGCCGGCCGAGGCGTTCAACTACCTAGGAGTTCTGTTCAAGATAGCGGCAGACAACGACTGGGCCGTCGCCCAGAAGTATGACCACACAGTGAGATCGCAGTGGTCCGCGGGTTCGGCCACCGATAAGAACTTCGTACCCGACGTGGGCAAGCTCGACCTGGAAGCCCTCTGGACCGCACGACGGTACGCCCATGGCAGACCGGGGGCACCCGACGGAAGACCCAGACAGACCAACATGACACCCGGAGCAAGGAGAGCTGTAGACCGAGATCAAGGAATCTGCCACGACTTCTCTCGAGGCGGTCCAACAGGGTGCGCGAAGCAGCCGCAACAATGCAGATACAACCATAGATGCGGTATCTGCCGATCACAGACCCATGGCACAATGCAGCACCGCTACCTCTCAAGCAACAACCATCAATTCCCCAGCAACGGCCAAAGGCCGGCCACAACAACACCGAGAACAAGCAACAACAATAGCAACCGAGCGGCAGGGAAGTACCCCAGCAGCCAAGGGCCCGCGCAAAAGGGCGGCAATTGACGGTTATGCGGTAGCCCCGCATCCCCGCCGTCAAAACCACAGATGACGGAGTCCTCCAATCCAGGAAGCGGGGAAGTAGAGGGTAGCACGGCGCCCAGCCCAGCAACACCAGCTCAGGTCGCACATCTGCACAACGCGGCCAAAAACCCGAAGACCCTCCCAAAAGATGCGCGGATTTCACAGACCCTCACAGCAGCCGAAGCTCATGGCGACAAACTGGCCGCGTGGAGAGCCGGGCAGCTGCAACGCATCCGGGACATCGCTAACTCCAAGAACGCCAAGGCACGGGACGCCGAGCTCAAGGCCCGGTCCCCTCCCGAGGTGAGAGCACTGATCAAACACTTGAACCTCGGGGCCCTAGACCTACTGCTGCGGGAGGCTAACCATCCAGATCACAGCCTATGTCACGAGCTGGCGGCAGGGTTTCGCCTCACTGGCGACTTAAGCTCCAACGGACTCTACCCACCCAAAGAGGACAAGCCAGCCACCCCCAAGCACGAGCTCCTAAATCAAGCCGAGTCCATCCGAGACCTAATGAAGCAGGCCTCAAGAAGACCAGCGGCAGACGTCGTGAAAACTTTATGGACGCAGGCCGAGAACGAGGTGAGAGCCAAAAGGCTAGAAGGACCCTACACAGAAGCAGACCTCAACAAGCGCTTCAACGGAAGATGGGTTTTCTCCCCCCGATTTGGGAAGGTGGAGAGCGACAAGACGAGAGAGATAGACGACCTCACCATCTCGGGCGTCAACGGCCTCACCCGCATCGGAGAACGGATAGTGCTAGACACCGTGGATTGCGCCTTGGACTTACTTCAACAACAGAAGGACAACGACAAGGCCAAGGGGCGCCATAGGCAATACCGCCTCTTCAAAGGAGACCACCAGAGCGCCTACCGCCAGTGCCCAATCAACCCCGATGACTATGACGTCGCAGTCGTGGGCATATACCACCCAGACCGAACCGACCTAGTGTACTACATACACCATTCATTACCCTTCGGGAGCAAAGCCAGCTGCCTACACTACACCAGGGTAGCCAAAGGCATATGCGCCATCCTCTGGTACTGGTTGCTCCTAGTTATACTCTCCTACGTGGACGACTTTCACGGAACGGCCCCACAGGGGCTGGCATTACAAAGTTACGAGTGCTTCCTCGAGGTCAACAACATCATCGGGTTCTACACTAAACTGGCGAAAAACCTGGAGCCGGCCCAGAGAGGGAAGCTGCTGGGACTTATACTGAGCATTATGGATGACCACGTCGAGTTGGACCTAGACCCCAACCGCAAGGACGCTCTGCTCACCGAGATCCACAACACCCTCCAAGAAGGAATCATGGCCCCAGCGCAGGCGAGTTCCCTGGCAGGGAAGCTCAACTTCGCTTCCTCAGCCATGTTCGGCAAGAGCGGCCGTTCCTACCTAAGGGTCCTCTACAATTGGCACTACAACACCCGAACACAAGCCTTCAAGCCCCACCACCAAGTCGCCAGGGCCCTACAATGGTTCCGGTGGGCCATAACGGAATGTCCAAGGCGAACAATAGCCCTTGGACAAGCTCGAAAGCCGTTCATACTCCCGGATCAGAACAAGACCGAATACGTCTCATGGAGACCGCCGACCGAGCTCCTCAGCAAGCTCAAACAGCGCAAAACACAGATACACGCTCTAGAAACCCTGGGTGCCCTGGTATGTATCTACCACTGGAGCTACACCGACAACTACTTCCAAAAAGAAGCCCAAACGACAGGAGGATGTGACGTCACACTGTACATCGACTCCACCACGGCAGAAGGCTGCATCCGAAAGGGATGTAGTACAGCGGAAGACCTCAACAGCATGTGCACTCAAATATGGAAAACGGCAGCCACGCTAGGGATCTATCTGTACACCCTGAGAGTCCCCTCCGCGGAAAATCCGGCGGACTGGCCAAGCCGATCGGAGTTCCGAAGGATGGAAACACTAGGCTGGGCCCGGGCAAGGACCCTCGTGGACCCGCCATGGCGCACCTGGCTGGAATAGCAACCGGCCACCAGCCGTCGGCGGCACAGTTCGCCTATGCACACTTGCTACAACACCCTTAGCACCTTAGAAACCCAAAAGACACCCATACAGGTAATACGGGCATCACACAGGGTCTCCACGACACAGGAATCCCCAGAGAGGCGCAGAACCGTGGCGTAGATACCCACCACACACGTAGGACACGCCTCACTGCACTCCAACGCCCAACAGGACGGCAACAGCTCGTCTACGCGCGGCACGGAACGGCGCGTCACCGAGGAGCCGCTCCTCAGGAGCGGGAGCCCCGCCCCATAGATGGCAGGCCCCAACCAGT